GGGGTGGAGATGGGGGTGGGCTGGGGGAGGACTCCATGCTCTGAGCTGAGGGAACACGGTGGAGGAAAGGGGATTTCCGAAATGCCTGGTTATTCTGCAGCTGGCGGCGGGCCGGGGAGAGGGGAGCACGTTTGGGGATCCCGCCTGTGCGCTGAGAGGAGCGGTGGATGCGAGGGGGTGGATGCGAGTGAACGTGTGCGCCAGGGAGAGAGGGCGGGAGGGAGAAAGAGAGCAGGCCGGGGAGCGCGCGGGGAGGGCCCGGGCCTCAGGGCGCGCCAGGAAGTGAACGGCAGTGGCCAGGGGCCTAACTGGTGTCCGGGCGCTGACCTGACGGTGCGGTCTGTTTTGTCTCGCAGTGAACCCCAACTACACCGGCGGGGAGCCCAAGCGGTCCCGGACGGCCTACACCCGGCAGCAAGTCCTAGAACTGGAAAAGGAATTTCATTTTAACAGGTATCTAACGCGGCGCCGTCGGATTGAAATTGCCCACACCCTGTGTCTGTCCGAGCGCCAGATTAAGATCTGGTTCCAGAACCGGAGGATGAAGTGGAAAAAAGACCACAAGCTGCCCAACACCAAAGGCAGGTCCTCGTCGTCGTCTTCCTCCTCCTGCTCCTCCTCAGCTGCCCCAGGCCAGCATTTGCAGCCGCTGGCCAAGGACCACCACACGGACCTGACGACCTTATAGAAGTGGGGACCCTGGGCCCATTCCTCCCTGCGCTCCTGGCTGAGCCGAAGCTGCGGGGGCAGGCCGGGCCTGCTGTCACCTCCCTGGGCACTAAGGTACTGTGGGGTGGACCTGGGACCTGCAGGCCGCCCTCGGACTAGGTTAGCATCCTGCCCGAGGGCAGCCCTCTCCCTGGAGCAGGGATGGGGGTGGGAAGGGGGCAGGATTCTAAGTATATTACTGAATGGCAGGAACTACTGAGAACAGAAAACCTTGGCCAGTCATTAAACTCACGAAAATCTCCACTGTTGGATTTTGAATTTGCAAACAAAGGTTGAATGCTTTATCCCAGTGTGAATTTGAACGTCCTCCCCCACCCCACCCCTCCAGGGATCTTTGGGGTTTGATAATGTGGGGGAGTTGAGGCAGAAGTTTGGCTACCCCTGTGCTAGATGCTTTTAGTGGAAGCAGGAGAGCTGGGCCAGGATTTCTGAACTTTCTGGGTTGTCTGTATAATTTCTGTTGTGAAAAAAATTTTTTTTGGCTCCCAGTGGCCCCATGCCCAAAGAAATGAGTCTAAGAAGCAAGTGGAAACGGGTTATTTTATGTTTAGATTATATCTGCTTAAATATTTATTTGTTGGGGAATGGGGTACAGAAATAACCGACATCTTATTGCCAAAAAATGTAACATGGTGAAAGGGGCTGAGTTTCAGGGAGCAGAATGAGATGTGTGGACTTACTTCTGACTGTAACTGGCATTTTGAACTCCACCCCCTCCCACTCCCCGGAAATGTGTGTAGGGGGCCCTTAACCCTTCTAGAGGGAAGCAAAGGATCCACTCAAAGTTGAGTTCTTGAAAATATTTCCACATGTGCTTTTTTCAGTACTGTGCTTACAACCAGTTCTGGGTGATTAAAGGAAAGGGAAAGAAAGAAAGAAACAAATGGTCCAACATTTTCCTTCTGGGGAAAGAAAACAAAACCTCTGTGTTCTGGGTCATTAGATAATGACTGAATTTTCTGTTCCAACTGGATTCCAAATGCCCCCAAATCCCCCATATAACACTATTTTGTAGGAATTGGTGGATGGCCTGTATGGGAGAGGACATGTACAGTGAGGAGAAAGTGGGAAGGTAAGGATGTCTTGCTTTAAAAAACAAGAGAAAAACTGAGTCTAGAAGTCCAGAAAAGTTGGTCTTAGGGTTTTTCCCCTAAGTTTTAATTTTTTAAATAAATCTAAGGAAGTTTTTCTCAACACAGTAATTAGAAACAAAATTTGTAAAAGGCCCTTTCTCTTGCCTTCAGAATAGTAGTTTAAAACCAATTTCTCTCAAACAACAGTAGAGATTTCTTTAGTCATTTTTCTAATGACTTGCCTGGGAAGAGTTCAAAGTTCATTTTTCTAAAATGTTGACCCTTAAGGATAAGGGGAAAGAGTCAAAGGTAATGGCCAGAGTTCATAAACTCAAATGAAACAAGGCTTCAGAAGTTTAAACCCCAAAGCCTCGGGCTCCAAAAAGAAACCCCTGGTTGCAGCTACTGAAAAGTGACAAAAGCGGGGAGGGAGAAAGAGTCTGCTTGAAAGGGAGACTCAGAATTGGGGCTATTTTTCAGTGCCCCAGAACACTTTAGAAGGTTTCAGAGGTAATTTTTAAAATACATTTTAAGTATAGGAGGGAAAAAGACTTTCTTTGCAGGGGTTTTCTTTGGTTCGGTGTCTCCTGAGAGCTGAGAGCAGGTATTCACTGGAGTCCCTAGGCTGAAATTCCACTTCTCTAAAGTATCTTCCAAGCCTTGGTCTTTTGTATTAGACCCTGGGGACAGCTCTTTGTTCCTCCTTGGGGTGAGCCTGGCTCTCAGACTTGCACATGGCAATACTTGAATATCGCCACGTCGGGATATTAAAGATGGATATTCTTGCATTATTCACATCATTGTTTCTATTACAAAAAGCACAGAGTTCATACATAGTCAAGACGTCTTTTTTCTGACGCCCTCACGTTGAGAAGCTGAAAAGGTATTTTACTGAAGTTCGGCTAAATTACAGAATCAGGTTCATCCAGAGGACAAATTTTCTATTCGATTAGCTGTATTTCAGCCGGGAGGACTGACCTCTAAACCCTTAACCTTTTGGACTCTAACTATCCTTCTCTTCTTTTTTTCCCCCCTCTAACATGGAGAGCAGTCTTTGGATGCAGCATTTGAAAAGAGCCGATATCCTTAGGCAAGTTGAAAAGTTGCTCAGATTTTTCCCTAAAACCCAAAGCTGTGAATATATTGAACCTTCTGCTTGGGGTTGGGAGAGTATATATTTTCACATCATCCAACTACATATATATTATAAAGATTATTATATAGATTTCCTCCCTTCCCAGAAGTTCAGGTTACTCACCCCAGCTTCAGACCAAATGCCAAAAGTACTTAACTGCCTTCACTCCTGCCCCAGAAGAAAGCCAAGAGGCATATTTTGATGAAGAAAACCCAAGCTCCTTGTCAAACAGAGCCCCGCCACTTTGGAAAGTAACTTAATCAGAGAAACAACTTCTTTGTTTATAAGTCTCAGTTCCCCTTCTCAGCTTCCCGAGATTGTCTTTTGAAATGTTAATGGAGCCTGGATGGCCCAGAGGACAGCCCTCCACCCTGAGGTCCCAGTCGGACCCCAGCGTCCATTTGGGCCCACAGGAATTGGGCAGGGAAGAAGCACACCCACCCCCAACTACCTAGGGCAGGAAAGGAAGTGAGTTTCCATCTGGGAACGTGCTCTGGAGAAAGCTAGATGTAGAAAGGCTCAGTGCCCATTTGCTTTTATTTGTTTCCAGTTTGTTCCCCTAAATATGAGCCAGAAGTGTTTGTTTTGAGAAGTTTTTTTAAAATGCTGTGTTGGGGTCGTGACTGGGGGGAGAAAAGTGTTTGCTGAGGACATTGCTCCTCAGATTCCCATCTCACTTTGTCCACTGCAGCCTTTTGTTGGGAGATGACTTTGTCAGTCAGCCCCATGGTGTCTGTTCACACAGGATGCTTTTTTTTAAAATAGATTTGACCAATGTTCTGCTGCCACTGATTAAAGTATTATTTATACTAATTGTTGCCTGTAGTTTTGATGTAATTCATTGATCTACATTTGAAATAATAAAAGGTGTAGTGAAATCTCCCTCCTGTTTGGTGCCTCCACAGAAGCATTCTTCATTAAGTCTTCTAAAAGCTAACATCTAATATGAACTATTTTATTATTTTCTGTGATATGCCTGGTGTGTAAAGGTTAAGCTTTGTAAGGCTTAGCAATTCAACCATTTTGCCCTCCTCCATACCTACACACTCCCAATTTGGCCATCATACTTTGTGAGTATTGGAAAGCCTGAGGCTGGATTCAGGCTGCAGAGTAGTGGGCATTATTTTTTGAAAGGAAAATAAGTAACTTCCCCTGCTAAAAGGAGGCTCCAGGTTGGCTGTCTGCATGGCCCTGGTCAGCCCCAGACCGCCTCAGTCACTCTTTGTGATGTGGTGGGTGAGAAACCTCCCTGCCTGCCAACCCAGAGAGTGCCTGGTGCTGGGTTCTGGTCCAAGCTTGGGCTGGCCGGTGGCTGCTCGGGTCTGACCTCCCTGGCCTCCAGTGTTGGGCTCCTTCTGCTTCTCCTGTGCAATTCAGCCCCACGGGGGCATCCAGCGCCTGCCCCGCCTCCCCCTGGCGCTCCCTCCGCCCTCCAGACAACAATAAACAGTCCCCACCGTCAAAAGTGGCTTGCGCTATTTTTTTTTCACGAGCGCTTTTTCACGTCTTGGTCTCGCCCTGAAGAGGGGGCCAAGACTGGAGTCCCAAAATAGATTGGGGAGGGGGGGATTGTTCGCAACAGGAAATGAGCAGAATGCATAAAATCAGACATGTGTCCTTAATATATGGAAGGGCTAGCCTCAGACGCGTGGACATGTGTATTTATAAGTGCGCAGACAGAAGTTTAAATATTCAGACACATTTTATGATTGTCCTCTGCCGGTCTTCTGGTTAATGGCTCCTCCTGTGCCCACCAATACATCAATACGGTTGTGTGCATTGAATCGCGGGCAGGGATGAGGAGGAAGCGAGTCCATAGCCAAGCCCGCCGGAGTACAGTACAATAAATCGGGACCCTCGGCAGACGGCGCTTCCCGCGCGCCTGCCCGCCCGCCATGTTGGGGAGCCCTCCCTGCCCCCCGCGCCGGGCTGGGCGGCCGGGGCTCGCCGGCAGCCGGGGGAGGGCCTTTCATAACCCGGAGAATTTTCAAAGTGCGAGGAAGATGATAAGAATAGATTTCTACAAGTCCCGACCACGTGATTGGCGAAATAATTAATTCAGCACGTCCCTTAAGAAACACGGAGTCGTCATTAATCTGCCACGCAAAGGGCTCTCTCCGACTTGGAAAGTGCAGGGATCCCAAGAATATCACCCGCCGAGGGGGGCCTAGCTGCGCCCCCAGCCCTCCACCCTCGGCCCCAGAGGCGGGCGCGGGAGCGCGGCCGGCAGGTAAATATTTTGGCGACTTTTATTTCTTCTGATTTAAATACTTAATGAACTTAGCTGTCAGGGCCGCTGACAAATAGTTCCCTGATTTGGAATAGCTGCTTCCTGATTTGGAACTGCGCGCCGCCGAGAAGTTGTTAGTGGCTTGGATGGTGACCTTTGGTTCAGCAAAGCTTTGCACTTATGAAAAATCACTGAGAGCGGCCGAGTGCGTGCGTGTGTGTGTGTGTGTGTGTGTGTGTGTGAGAGAGAGAGAGAGAGAGAGAGGGTGTGTGTGAGGGTGTGCAGGGGGCAAGGGGCGAGGGTGCGCGCGGGAGCTCGGAGACGGCAGGAGTAGTAAAAACCCGCCCGGCTGGGGGAAGCGCCTGGCGCACGCGGGCCGAGGTTGCTCGGTCGCCTGTGTCTACCCGGAACAATGGTCGCTGTCACGGCATCTGCCGCCTATTCTTAAACCGGTGAGAAAAGGCCCCGGCCCTCTTTTCAAGCGAGGGTCGTAAATTTTTCTTTGCGTCATAATAGAAGGCTATAAAATCGAGTTGAAATTTTACCCCAGGCAGGTTTTAACCAACAGATAATGATTTCCGAGTTGCTTCTCCCACACCCCTCCCTCTCCACCCAAGCTCTGCTTCTGTCACCCTAGCAAGGAGTTTTCCCCTGTCCTCTCGAATTTTGTATTTTTAATTTTGGGAGGTGGTCTAAAATAAAGGGAGGGAGAAGTCCCTGCCGCCCGAGTGGGTGACCCTAGGGTGAGGGGAAGCCTCAGGGAAGGGATATGGGGGAAAGGCCAGGGTAAGATGCAAGGGCTGTGTCTTCGGCAGGCTCTGGTTTAAGCCTTTCTTCTCCAGCACTCCAAGGAGATGCGGGGATGCAAGGTATCAGGAAACACTCTGCTCCCCTCCACCTCACGCCACCCCAGCTAGCCGGAGGTCTGAGCTGGGGGTAGCAGCCGGCATTCTCCTCCAGCTCTCAACTCCAGACCGGCCCTGATGCCAAGGAGAGTCTCTTTATTCGCCTTCTTCCCTCTAGTTGGCTTTAAGGATGACATCGGCAAAGTGGGGGCTGGCTGTGTGTGGTGGTTGTTTTGGGATTGTGTGTGTTTTGATTTCTTTTTGGTGTGTGTATATTTCCCCGTCAGGACAGAGACAAAGTTTCCTCCGTTATGAATTATACATTCAAACAATAACACATTAATTCAATTATTCAAAGATGACAAATGTTTATATGCTTTGCAAGTGACTCTGGCACAGATTCTGGGCGCTTTCTCTGAGCTGCTTGCGTTTTTTCTCAATGAGAATTGGTTCCCCTCCCACCCCAACCCCACCCACTCCAACCCACTTCGACAGCCCCTGGTGGGCCCAGAGAGGAACCCACAAAAAGCATCCCCAGCCCCGCTGGCAACCCGGCAGCCAACAGCCTCCCAAGGCCCGGGCTTGGCGGGCACCGGCCTGGGCTATTTTATCAGTGTGACAATTGCCTGGGTTGGTGTGATAAATCATCGTAAGTAATTCCTGAAAGGGTGCGAGGCTGTTGGGGGCCGGGCGAGGACTGTAAATCTTTCCGGTTTATTGCTCTATGAACATATGCTCCGATTGAAGAAGGCTTAGATCCTTTCCTGGAGACAAATTCCCGCAAAGCGGCCCCCCTCTTTGGCTGGAGATTAACACTTGCTGCGGGCCGGCTGCTCAGCCCCTGGTGGGAGGCTAGGGGGCGGGGTCCTCCGGGTGAGGGTGGACTGAGGGCACCCACTGTCCGGCTCCACGAGGCACCCAGCGTGGGCATCCAGCCAGGCCCGGCCAGGTGAACAAAAGGAAAGGCTCGCTGACAGGTCTGGGGGCTCGAGCCTGCGACCTGCTCTCTGGGACTTTCCCGTGCCTCTTGAGTGGGGATGCGGAGGACCTTACCCTCTTCTCCCTGGCTCTTCTGCGGCTGCCTGGCACATTCGCCTTCACCTGTCCGAGACCTTGCAAGTAGCACCAGGGCATCTGCTCCGTGCCCGATGCCGCTGAGAAGCAGAGCGGGCTATGAGAGCGAGACTTCGGGGATGGGGTGGACACCCCGACAGAGTGCGGGATTCGGGGTGCGGGCAGAGCTGGGGAAGTGCCTTTGGGGCTCACCGCAAGCCAGGAGCTGGATGCCGGCTGCTTGCTCTGGCTGGGAGCTTTTAACTCTTCTTCCACATGCAGAATTGTTACGTTAATTCCACCTGACCAGAGAGTGCTGGAAACCTGTCCTGATTTACTATTTCTAAAACAGAAGCGCCCTCTTCGCCCAGATAAGCCCAGCCAGGACTGATTCCGCAGACCCCCCCTTGCCTTCTTGGAGGTGCCGCGGGAAGCCGGAAGCCGCGGTCTGGCTGTCGAGGGGCCTGCGGGATCCATGGGGCCCTGCCTAGATCTGGAGGCGCACAGGTCACGGCAAACTGCGGCTCCGGGTCTCGGTGGCTCCAGGCTGCGCAGGAACCGGGTGGAATGCACCAGACGCAGTGAGGGTAGCACCCTCCCAGCTCAGACCTTCGCTTATGCGCCTGAATTTATGGCTCTAGAAGTGGCGGGTCATCGGTTGCGTCCGCGGAAGGAGCCAAGGCCCCAAGCGGTGTTGTTGATGGTGGTGAAAGAGGGTGGTCCCCGGGGTGACCAGCCTTGTCTGTGAGCTGGAGGCTCTCACCTTAGAGCCGAAGCGCGCTGTGCCACAACGTTATTGCCTCGCACGGGGAAGGGAAGAGCGGTGCATCCACCGAGGATGTGCCTTGCTTGGGTGCTTGCGGATGCGGGGTTCTGGGCGCCGCCGGGTTGCTAAGAGAACCCCGGGCTTCTGATGCTCCACAGCCGCCTCCGGAGACGCCTGTAAGAGAGGCAGGCTCTAAAATTTCCAATTCTGGGACCAGCCTGGTGGAAGGCTGGGCCAGGGTCAAAGGTCGTGGGGAGGGAGAGACTTTTAGAGCCCCCATACTACTGGCCAGCGATCAGGCTGGGTCGAGGTTGCTCCAGAGCTGCGGGATAAGGGGTTTCCTACGGCCCCATACCCACCCTTGTCAACCCTGGGAAGGGGCCGAAATCCCACGCCTCCTGCCCCTCCTCCCAGTCCCCAGGCCTGGCTGCGCTCCGGGGCTGGATGGCGTGAAAGTTTAAGCCTCAATCAGTACAATCTTCCTTCGGGGTCACGTGAACAAATGTGCTCGCTTTTGAAGGCAGCGTCTGTATTTCCCGACTATGAGGGGGTTTCCGGGGCTCTCTTCAAATCCAGAAAGGGCCACATTCCGAAAGCAAAACAAACACCGAGCTCTGGGGTGCCTGGGAGGGCTGGGCAGGAGCCCAGGAGTGGGTGGGGGCGCGGGTGGCCGCCGCTCTGGGCCCGGGAGCGGACAGGCGGGCGGGTGGACCGACGGGCGTGCAGCGCAGGCAAAGCCAGCTCGGGGACTACGAACTCGTTCCTCCTGCGTTTATTGGTAGTTGAACCTCAGCCTGGTTCCGTTCTACCGGGAATTCTGTGTGCTCGGGTATATGGCCGCATCTTCGAGTGCGCAAGACCAGGGTTGGGACAGTGTTGTCTGCAGACAAAGGGGGAAAGCTAGCTCTGCCCCCAACTGGCGCCCACTCTGAGGCCGAGGACACCAGGTTTATGATAAATTGGGATCCAGGTAAGCAATTGCATGACAAAATG